TGATAGTTCTTGATTACTTTTTGATAAATAATTCGTTCTTATTGCGAAATAGGAGCACTATTTATCAATCTGTAATAAAAGACGTGAGGAAATTAAAAAATTTTTGAGGCGAAATACCCAAAATGAAGTTTGTAAAAAATGAATCCGCCTCAACAATATAGAACTTATCTAATTATGCTATAGTTTTAATGAAATTAGTAGCCATTACGGGGCGATTTCGCTGATGTTTTGCTACATTCACTTGATTCCTGTTTCCAAGTGCTTTAGAATTAATTAATAGACTGATTTCATATTCATATGCACCAAAAGTTACTCGCCCTCTGACGGAAATCCCCTTGTTTGATCAATCAACTCAATTCTGGCAACCCTCTCTTTGCTCAACGAGCTTTCGGGTTTTAGAGTAAGTTCAACAATTGTTCATTTTAGAAAACCGAGTGAAAAAAGCAACATTAATGCATTTATTTAATGGTTTGTCATGCGTTTTGATAAGTTTGAATGGTTCGCGTATTTCTGTTGACTGGCCAGACATTTTCACAGTTTTACATTTTTCATTACTAATCCAAAGTCGTTGGTCCTTCGAGTTGATTCCTGCGCTAAGGCAAACAAGTCTGATGGACGAAATTCGCGTTCCAGGGGAATTTAATGGCGAAATTAATGAATTGCGCCCTATGAAAGCAAATGAATTATTGAAATTTAAATTTTCGATCCCGACAACCCGCACACTCAATCCCGATACCGAGCTAAATTAAATGGGAGGTTGGTATTTCATGTTTGCAATAATAATACTGTTCGGAAGAAAAAACTGAAARCGCCCAACCAGGCCCAGAGGCAAGTTGAAGCTTTTCTAGACTGAAAATAAGAGCTTTTCTAGAGCGAAGAACCAGCTTGAAAGTCGGACAGAGGGAAGACCATACTTSGAATACTCGAAAARAACTAATTTTTGAGGAAACACCSTTAAACGTGAACACCAATCTCGTCKTTGTAGGGCCTTGTAAAAAAATTGACTCTTCTGATGTAAATGAAAATAAAAAMTWAKTTTTTATTTTCTGCGCTCCACATAAATTTGCCAAGCGAATTTCCCTTGCAAATATGCCTTGATGGATTGGGGTTTTGCATAAGAGCCCTTTAAGCTAGCACTCTACCCTAAATATGCACATTTGTGTACAAAGCAACGAAACTGTTGCCGCACTTTAATCGAAATAAAACTGGATGTAACGTAAAACATTAATTTATCGAATACCCATCTGCTCCGACTCTAAACAATCCTAACTAAGTGCAGCGCATTTGAACTCGGTATAATTGAATTAAATCGACCACATGAGCTGCACAAAGACAAAAGGGCTTCAAACTACTGCACAACGTGTTGTGTGCCCGCATGTTCCATACTGGGTTCACATGCGATCCTCCTTAGCGGGTGAGTTATTGTCTTAATTGGTTTAGTTTTAATTTAATTCAGTTTAAATGGGGGCTGGTTAGTAAAAATTATCATAACCAAGTGGAGCTAGAAAAGTGCTTGAGACAATGGCCAAAACTGAGACTCGAACGGTCGTATTCAATAGGTGAGTCAGAGTCACACTTTACGAAATGTCACTTCTTCGTGCGAATTTATCTCTTCACGGTCGGTTGCTTCACTGCCAGTAATGCATTTTCTTCGTTTTGATAGTTGGGTACAACACGCGAGTGATATAATATCCGGCACCGTACGTGGAATTTACACGGCAACAAATTGCCAAGTGAATTGGTTGCAATGCTGCAGGATTTATGGGCTGCTGGGCTGCTTGATCTAGTCAAACAGGCAAAGAAATGGATAAATGATCGCGGCAGGCGACATTGCAAATCAATGAGAAAGTATCCGGCGCTCACCCTCCGTTATGCGCGAATAAAAGCCGAGGCGGATGCAGCAAGCGAATTACTGTCCATCTTTTAAGGGTGGCTTTCAGCCAGGCTGAGGGGATGATTTAGTGACTCATATCGGGTTTCCTAAGGATATTTTGCGCGATGCGGACTTTTAATACACCGATTGCGACAAGGAGGAAATTCCTGCGAGTGGTTGATGTCTTATGAACAACTAGACGACTTTTTTCGGCCCCCTCATAACCTCAATAAGGATTTGCATCTCCTGCAAGTCTGAGTCATGCTGGCAGCGTCGCGACGCTCACAGCCTATATAGGTATGTATATAGCTACCCATTCATTTCTTATGAACAAAAATTGACTGATTCCAGCTTTCACGGGTATTTTTGCAAAACTTGGCGATTTTCCGGTTATTACTCTGAAGATGGTATCTATGCGTGCTAGTGAAACGCCAGGACCGAATTTCTGATGGCGGTTTAATAACTCGAGAATCCGAGCACTTTTGGAAAAAATCAATGAGGTACACTTTTTTTGCTTGTCCCTCTTAGTAAACTTTGGCGCTCTAGATTTAGACAGATTTTTTTCAAAAAATTTAACCACCAACCGGGCAAATGCTTCAGAAAAACGCGTCTGAGTGCCCTTTTCATTAGCCGATTTTTTTCCGGAAACTAATCGCCTGTTTGAGTAATTCCCCGAATTTTTTCGTAATTTCTCTGCCAGATTGACTCTGAAAC